TTTAATTCCATAAATTTCTCATTACTATGACTGCCTATTTATCTAGATCAATACTGCTTTTGAAATGAGAATGCCTTGATTTCCTTTCACTTTGTGTTGAGAAGGTCTAGCTGAGAAGCCGGGGATAATTCCTTGGAACTCTACATTCATCCAAAATATTCTTAAAACATGTATTCTGCTGGTATTTCTTATGTTTACTGCAAAATATATAACTGTTTGTTGAAAAATAGCAATCTTCCATGGAAATGTATACCTTTGTCAAGAATTCCTCTGTCATGTGTTCTGTAGTAAAGAATTTTGTTTCGTTCAACACTAGATTTTGAAACTCTTATGTGGGCAAAAGCTTGAACTAATACTCACTAGCATTAGAAGGCTATGAGAAACGATTTAAAACGTTTCCCTGTGGTCATTCATATGATCAGTCGAATAAAATCAAGATAACTGAGTTGTGCTTTTGTTTTCCTATTACAAAGCTACATTATGGATTTTTTCTGCATCTGTCCACCGTGAGAAATCTAACCTTGTATTTTAGCGTTGAAAATCTGTAAAATTACCGCTGACCCATCAGGGAATCTGGAGATGAGAAAATACATTATGATTAGAGATGATGTATTCAAATGTTGAGGGACACATTCTGCAGAAACTTTGCAGGAGAATCTTCCAAAACTAAAACAATATAAACATTTTCCGTACTTTGTTCTTTTTCAAATGTAAACTTAATTTTAATTTTTCGCCAGTTCAACACCCAAAAATATTTATAACCAGTAATTTCAGCATTTAGAAATTTTGTTTTATGTAACATTTTCACGACATTTGTATAATAGTAGGGGTGTTTTGTTTTGTTGTTTTTTTCCTTTAGGCTGCTCTTTGTCTCTTTTTGGACTTTTTACTAATTTTGAACAATTTTAATAAACATATATTGCTTTAATCACAACACGCACTATCCACAAGTCGCAGAACATTATTCTTTAACTCTCTCTGACTGCGTTTATATATCGAAATTATCCTTACTTTAACTCTTTGTTTTCACTATTTCTTTTCCTTGGTTTTTGCTGGTTTCAACGTCTTTAATACTCGTTGCTGTCATATTTTGTTCTTAATTCACTCCAGGTTTTCATCTCTGAGAGTTTACTATTGTAATGCACAATAACAAGTTTAACTGTTTGATCCATTATGTGACGCTTTCGCTGTTTTTTAATGTTTTTTTAGAGGATGAGGTGTTTTTACGCTACGGAACACTTTTAATTGCGTTCGAAGCAAAGTTAGTAGAGGTAACGATGAACACTCCAAAACTGTTTTCGTCATGTTAAGCGTGCTAACTACTTTCACAAAACTTTCCTGCTCCGTAATTTGTATTTAACTCTGTATTTAGCCAAATCGTAAAACAAATATCCACTGGATCGAAGTCGAGGATATGCTCATCTATCTAACTTCATTATCGTGCGTGTGGCTTCAGGCTGCTAACCTTCCTCCAAGTTTTGATCTCTGTACTTTACGTCCAACACTTGGATAAGATGTGTGGAATTCTCAGGTGCGCTGGTTTGAGCAAGTTTTGTAAAATTACAGAAAGTGCATGCAAAAAAAAATGTTCTACAAAGTTAAACTGTATTCTTCAACTCTGAGTTGTGAAAAATAAAAATTGATGAGTTTTATGAATTACAGTGGCTTTACTGAAACGTCCAGAGATTTTTGTAAAGAAGAAGACTATGTTCCACGCTGAGGAAACATAGTGTCATGTCGACGAAAACATAAAGCTAATCTTTTCCAGTCTGTGTGTGTGTGTGTTACATACATCACTATTGGCCATTTCCATCGCAAATTAAGGAAATTTTTACCTTACGGTATCAGTGATCTGCCTATGGAAAAGATCATTATCTACTTTTATACTTAAAATGATCGACTTTACAAACATCATTCCCTCGAGAAAGAAAAGGTGATATCCTAAACGAATGAACAAGAACAATAAGTAATTAGGTCTTCTTCTGCTGACAAGGGTGGCTGCTATAAAGTGTTTTCCTGATGCTGTCTTATCTTTTCTAAATACAAGGACCACCTCAAACAGCAATTGTTTGTCACCTTTGAACTTTGTGACAGGATGTGAAGTTGGTTGCAAAATATTCCAACTTTATTAATTTGAACCCAGGAAGCTTCATCATCTAAGATGCTCATTTTTTAGTGTGGTTTGGTACGAGGGCAATGACCTGTAGGTCTACCATGACCACACGCATATTCTTTTAGGTCTTTATTGCTTTGAAGGCACTTGGTACTTTATCCTGAATGAGTGTACCCAGGGTAAAGAAAAGCAAAGCCTTTTCCTCTTTCTGCGAGTAAAACTTTATAAGGTGCTTAACTGTTCCTATGATTTTCTTCAAAATTCTGAGTTGGCAAACGTCCTTAGGAAGGACATTTAAGGCATAAGCTATTCAATCATTAATGATGAGGTAAGGATTTTTTTAAGTAGTGCTCCTACAACCCTTATAGTACAGAGTGTCCAGAACTGCTGTTAATAAATTTGAAAACATGTATTTCTGAGTGTGATAAAACTCCTTTCAGGTCTCTGACATGATGTTGAAATATACTCAGTCGGTCTAATGCAGTTATAATAGCTATTGTAAGAGGGATATCAAGGTTTTTTTTATAAATGTAAATAAAATAACGATCTGTATCTCCAAAATGTAACTTTATTAGCTCAATATTTAGCAATTACAGCTGTTATAGGTCGTAATTTTTTACGTTCATAAAAATGTCTCGTAATAAACTCCAATTTCAGTTAAACAAAGTCAAGAATAATAATTCAAGGCTTTTGTCTTTGCAACACAAGTAAACGCCTCTGTGAACATAACTTCCAGACAAAGACTGTCTCGTATTTTGTTTTTGGTCTCACGGTTTCTATAGGATTCATGAAGACCTTAGCCATATATGCACTATTGTGAGGCTCTGTTTTTAAATCAGTGGCTTAAAACAGAAGGTTCAGGAGTTGCAAACACCAATTTTATTAATGTATTTACTTCCACATTACAACATTAGTGTCAATGAATTTTCTGGTTGACAAGAGTTTGTACCAATTCATACTCCTCGTCGAAGAGGGAATTTGAAACTTGGAATTATGAAGGAAGTATAAAACCAGACCCTAGTTTATTAAAAGCTTTCTTCCAACATATGAACGTACAGCTATTACGACGTGTTTTTCAATTCCCTTCTGTTCATAAGATGATATTTCACCAAGGAAAGTCGCACTTCATCATCTGATAATAAAAGTAATCTAACAATCAAGTGATTTAGGAGTGGTCAAAATCATTGGATTCATGTGTAATTACCAATAACTTTGAAATTAATTAGCTTTTCCTCGAAATAATGCCAGATTTCACTCAGTGGCTTAAGCGTACTTGTAGATTTTCAAATGCTTCAGTAAAACATAATATAACAGTCCATGATTAGAAAAAAAAAAAAAAAGGTAAAAGAACACACGTGAGACAAGTAATTGATCGACGGTTATCTTTACAAACTACCTTTGAATTTATAAACTAAAATAAACATTTATACTTTCCTACACAATTCTCGGCCAATCACTTTTCTTTTATGAATATTCTAACCAAACCTTAGTATGAGATATTTGGGACTACCAACTTTCTAGACCGTTCTTGAACAGGCCCTCTTTTCTGTAACTAATGACAACTGACAGTTTCTAGGATACATCAAACAAACTATTATGCAATCGTAAAACATCAAAAAATAAAATATAACCGTAAGGCATAAAGTAGTTTAACAAACAAAACCTTAAGAATAATATAAGTGGATGTGTAATGCTTTGATATATATATATATATTGCAAATATTTACTAATAACGACTAGATATGATTTATATTTGTTACAGTGACCAATTACAAGAAAAAATAGCTCTTTAGTTAATCACACAACTGGAAATTAAATCATAAAGAGGCCTACATTTTGAAGTTGGAGTAGACAAAACAAACCAAGATAAAAACACCTTTTTTTTACATTTTCCACTTTTAATGAGTTGTCACTTCGCAGAATACATCATTGTTAAATTTACTGCGAAGTAACATCAGTAATGATAGTTAGCAATTTATGTTGTTTTTAATGTTTTCTATAAATTAAATGTGAGTTCAAAAACAATTCGAACCAATGGCCTTATTAACCATCGAGTGTTTTAAGCAACTTCCCTATAAGGTTTAGAACGATAGTTTCTATAGATATCGCTTAATCAAATAGTATTATTTTAATTCTGGCCTTTAAAGACCAAATAGTCCTGCCAATTACCATTCTGATAAAATTACTAAAGTGGAGAAATGAGTTTTGCAACCGGTAAAACTCATTAAATCAGTTGGCTGGAGAATTTGATTGTGTCTCAAGTTTCAATTATTCAAACTTTTCTGATGCTACAGTGTACCAAGTTACCTTACTGCAGTGAAAACGACGTTAATGAACAAACGTTTTCGAACTAGTTGGGAAAGAAATGCTAATCAGAGTTAACTTTTAAATAGTTTAAATAATTCCAAAGTGCGTGGTTTACCTTTCAAATAACATGCATAAAACCCAGGACTACATTAATGATTGCTGAATGACTTAAAAATTACAATTCTGTGTAAATGACACTTAAGACTTTTTTGCTTCTGTATTTGAGCTAGATTTTTAAACATGGAAACAATTTCCATTCTATAACTATTTGTGGTTCTAAAATCATGTAAAATGAGAGAGTTAAAAATAAATTTCCAAAACTATGTACATTACTATGTTGACGTGATACTGGGTTTTACGCAGTGTAACTATTGAAACTGCAATATTATATTCCAAAATAAGAACATTTAAAGTGTTGAAGGCTAAAAAAGTATTTGAATAAAATACGGAATGAGGTTATTGTTGGAGATAAAAGATGAAAACATTATTTACAACTTTGACGTTTTTCATCTATTTACCTCATAATGTTCTTTATACATTACATGTTTTACCTATAACATGGTCTCATTTGTCATTTCAGTCACTCACTTCCGCAAGAGTATTCAGCTGGGCACCCTTTATGTATGAACACTTATTACCATTTTTTCCGAGCAATTCGCCAGCCAGGTTCAGAGAAGGATATTATACACATCTATGATGAAACTGCTAAACACATTACAGTGGCCTGTAAGAATCAGGTACGTTAGTGGTTAATTTACCTAGCCTCTTTATTTTATTTTATAACCTGTAAGATATACGTATTATACAATGTTATCATAAACGTTTATACATGATTTTATTATGCATAAAGTGGTTAAAAATAAGGTCTATTCAACTATAGTTAAGTTGATGGAGTGGAAATAATTAACGATAAACTGTGGCTGAATATGTTATTAGCTTGAATTCATTCTACAGTTTTCCAATACTATAGCCTCAAATATAGTATAATAACGTAGAAATGTATCACTGTTTACTTTATCTACGTTACAAATAATATATTAATAAAACAGTTTGTCTCTGAAGAAGAAAGGTCCACCTTTTGAAAGCGCTCGGGTTATAGCGTTTTTATTCATTTCTGTCAAGACTTCTTGAACCTACGTATTTTTC